TAATCATTTTGACAATGTTCACTCTTTCAATGAACATGAAATAATTTTCTATTTCTTGGTTCTTATTTCTCTCAGTAGTGACATAGTTTTTATTTATTTTTAATTCATTTTTAAAATTTTATTTTTATAAAGGTCTTCAAAATATTTGATTACATTTAATATTCGAACACCAATCCCACCACCATTACACCTTCCCATCACCATATTTCCATCCTGAACTCCAAACCCTGCCCCCAAAGCAGAAGAGAAATAATTTCTTTTCTATTGCTTGTTATGAATAATCCACTAAAAATGAGGCCAGAAAGGTTTCTTAGAAGAAAGTGTGTGAAGATTGCTGTATTTCACCCAGGAGCCAGTAAGCCCTACTATAAGAGATTAGTAACATATTGGTAAAGGTTGAGATTTGTGTGCTTGTATCTATCTATCTATCTATCTATCTATCTATCTATCTATCTGTATAACTATATTTCCCCTTAATATTTGTTGCCTTCTACTTTAAACCCAGTCAAATGTGGCGTGATACTCTTGGTACATTGGTGATGTAACATATGAGATGTCCAGGAATAGATTCATTCATGGGTGAGGCTCGTCCGGCATGTGGAAAGCAGCCGTAAGCAACGTGGTGGTTGAGTTCTGGAGGTTTTTGGTTGCCTGAGCTGGATCTGTTGGTGTGGGCAGGGACCTCACCTGCCTCCCTCTGGGTTGCCCCTGAATGAAACATCCTGAAACAGCCTGGGGCAGGGTCTGGTGGCAGGGCTCTGGTGTATCGTTCTATGCTCTCTTCTAAGAGATTTATATTGAGTCTCTGGATCATGGCCGTTAGTGAGATTATATGGTGCCAGAGGCAGCTTGTGGGTGTGACTACTAAGCTATTGGAAATAGAAGGAGACGTGGGATGTCACCCATTCTCGGTTCCTTTGAGCCTGGAGTTTCCAGAGTGACATACATTAAAAAATGTAGAACTCCTTACCTATTCTGTTGATTTGATTCCTTGGCATTTGACTTTTTGGGATACATTTTTTTAAAACTATGCTGATAGTACTACAATCTAGGTGTGACAATTATGCAATGGCAATGATTATGTGGCAAAGTATAACACTAATTGGTTAGAGATTCCACCCAAGCTGTCAGGGCTGTTGAAAATTTGGGCAAGAGTTGACAGCTACGGAAAAGACAGAGAGAGAGAGAGAGAGAGAGAGAGAGAGAGAGAGAGAGAGAGAGAGAGAGAGAAGAGAGAAGAGAGAGAGAGAAGAGAGAGAGTATATATCCTTTAGAGAGTTTGACCCAGAGAACACAGACATATACTTTTTGCTTTGACTATCAGGGTTGTATCCATTGATCTCCCTTTCTTGAAACTTAACTCAAAAGTAACAACAGAGTACTGAGTCCAACCTCTTCCTTAAAACTTAACTCAAGAACACTAAAATCTGAGAAGTCATTTTGAATATTTTGATACAGATTGAACACTCATGTTCCTTCCAAATTCATTTGAGACTGAACATACAGTGTGAAGGTATTGGGAGGTGGGACTTCCGGGAAGTGATTAGTTCATGAGGGCGGAGCCATCATACTGATATTGCTGCCCATATTCATGAGGCTTCCGAGAGCTCAGGCAGCCCTTCTACCACATGAGGACACAGCGAGTGGACAACTGTCTATAAACTTGCAAGTGGCTCTCTTCACATTCCACTACTATCAGCACCCTGTCTTGGATTCCTGGCCTCTAGATTTGTGAGGAATAAATTCATGCTGTTCACACAAGTTATGGTATTCTATAATCACAGTCCAGAACAATTCTGCCCAGACTGAATGTAGGTATTCTTCCTCTTGCTTCATACTGTCTCTTATCATCCTTTTTAACTATTATAACTATTTTATAACATCACTCTGCTTTCTTAATAGGACTTTCTTGTTCGTCTTTCCCAGGGGAGCAAGAATAGTTTTGCTTTGCAGAACAAGAGCCCAGCACTTTGAGCATCTTCCAGGCATTCTGCCAATGCATTTTTGTGCTTGGAGTAGGTGGTCAGTAAACGCAGGCTCTCAGCCTTTCCTTCCAATTCAGAATTTACCATCTAACATAGGAAAGCACTCACGTAGCAAATATATGATGTGATAAATGTGCTCTTTAAATAAACAGAAGTGCTTGGGGAGACAATGGAGAAGTCATTAACTGGGACTCTACCAAAGAGACTGTAGTTGCATCGTGTTGTCTGACAGTTATAATTACTTAAGAGTTTCAACTTTCCACGGCCATTAATAGGGCTGTCTGGCACTTCTTCCATTACACTGGGCGTTCCCCTCTGAGAGCCACTCTATGGAAGGAGAGGATAAGGAGGCTAAAGAGCAGAGTAGAAATGCAACTCCAATCTGGTTTGCCCCCTTCATTCATTGGACATGTCTGTACTGAGGTTCTCATCATAGGGTCTGCCCAGGTCTTTCACCGGCTTATGGGAGTGATAGAGACATACAGTGGGCTTGCTCTCGATGCCGCTTACTCATGTGGGAGGAGACAAAGTATAAAGAAATACATAAGATATATTAGGGTTGGAGCAATAGCACAGCGGATAGGGCATTTGCTGACCCTGGGCGACCTAGGTTGGATTCCTCCACCCCTCTAGAAGAGCCCAGCAAGCTAACGAGAGTATCCAGCCCTCATGGCAGAGCCTGGCAAGCTACCCATGGTGTATTCCATATGCCAAACACGGTAACAACAAGTCTCACAATGGAGATGTTACTGGGCCCGCTCAAGCAAATCAATGAACAATGGGAGGACAGTGACAGTGAAGATATATTAAAGGTGACAGTGAAGATATATATGTTACCCCTGAATCCATGAAACAGGGGTAACAGGGCATGTGATGAAAAGAAGTCATAGGTGGGGGTATAGGTGCCCAGAGCAAGTTGATCCAATGCTTGCGGAAAGCCCCCTTGAGAACCTGACTTTGGTTATAAGCCAAGTGCCAAGAAGGGTTAAGTGGAGATTCTTTCAGGCAGGGCAAAGGACCTGATGCAGGACTGTCCCTCGGCTCCTAATATCCAGCCCCAAGTTTCACCACTGGGGAAAAAAGAGGTGCAGGGCAAAGACAAATCTGGGTCTGAAGCTGATTTCTGGTATTTACTTGGCTGGAGCAATAGCACAGCGGGTAGGGCATTTGCCTTACACGCGGCCAACCCAAGCAACCCAGGTTTGATTCCTCCGCCCCTCTCTGAGAGCCCTGCAAGCTACTGTGAGTATCTCGCCCATACTGCAAAGCCTAGCAAGCTACCCGTGACGTATTCGATATGCCAAGATATGCCAAACACAGTAACAAGTTTCACAATGGAGATGTTACTGGGCCCGCTCAAGCAAATCGATGAACAACGGGAGGAAAATGACAGTGACAGTGACTTGGAGGAGAGGATCTGAGAACCACCTTTGGGTTCAAGCAGATTCACTTCAAGCTGGTTTTCACTTATGGACATGTTCTTTCTTCAAACTCTGATTGGGTTTCTAAGAAACTAGAAAGTCACTCATGACATTTTGGTGGAATATCCAGCGCCTGACTGGACGGAGATAGGCTTTGGTTTTGCTCAAATGTCAGATTTTGTTTTAGAAGTGCCAAGCATCAAAGGAGGTGCTTCTCACAAGGCTCCACCCCGAGCCACATTTCCCAGTTTTCTCAAACTCTGTAAAGTCTTCTCAGACTTTTCAGCAAACTCAAGTCCTGATTCTCAGGTTAGGAGCAGAATCCCAAATTCTTGAGGTCAGCTGAGTTTCAGGTTTCACCAGAAGGGGCGTTTGCCATAGCTGCTAACTCTTCTCTGCAGAGAGCAGTTCCTACAACGCTGCAAAGGAAAAAAAAAAAAAAAAAAGAAAAAAGAAAAAAGAAAAAAGAAAAAAATCAACCCAAAAAACACCTCTCTAGCGAATTCGGAGGGGAAGGAAGTTCCAGCGCTGGAGAATGGTGTCCTTGGCTCTTTGGGGTTGGAAAGCCGTCCCAGAGAAGTTCAACACACCTCTTTACCCTGAATATTTTTACACATACAGATGGGAGCATTTGCAATGTGTTAGCCTCTGTCCGAATCTAGAATATCTGCTCTGCAAATCACACCTAGGAGGGAGAGCTTCCTATCTCATTTAACATTGAACTTTCCACTAGAAAAAGGCAAAAAAAAAAACCCAAAAAAGCTCAGATGCACAGCCAGATCAGACTCCAAAGTCCATACTTTTACACTGTGCAGATCTGAGAAGTTTCTGCCTGTGAGCAGTGGGCAAAAAAATGAGGAACTGAGCACAGAGGAAGCCCTGAGAGGGGGTAGCCAGGTAAAACCATTTCTTCTACTGAAATAGGGGCACCGGCCTGGAGATGGCTGGTCCCTGACTTAGAAAAGGCATGTCCTAAGGCCAAGGTCTCTGTTTGGACACATCTGGCTCCTTCCTTCCACCTCTGGGCAGGTCCAGATCAGCCTGGGTGCCCGCCAAAGGAGCAACGCCTTTGCGCCCCACCCTCCGTCGCCCACCTTGGCACGTACGACCCCGCAACGTCCCCCAGCCGGGTCCCCGCCCAGGGGGATGTGAAATGCCGCAGTTCTCCCCTCGCTCTGCGACAACGCCCCCCTCCCCCCACCGCACCCACCCCAGCCAGCCGCCCAGTGCGCCGGCAGGAGAAGGGTTAACGAAGGCGCGCGCGCGGAGCCCCCCTCGGGCCCGGAGCAGCCGGGGCCGGCCGGGAATGCTTAGTCAGGATTCCGATTTCCTGCCGAAGTGTTTGGATTTCCTGCAACCCGCGCCCTCGGCCGCCGAGCGGGCTCGTCCGAGGCGCGGGCGACGCGGCAGCCTCCTCCCCTCGGCACATGGTCGCCCGCCCCTTCCTGCGCCGCGCTCGGCTCCCGCGTCTCGCCGCCACCGCCAGCGCCAAGCGCCAGCGCCAGCGCCAGCGCCTCCGCCGCGGGCGGCCCCCACCCCCCTGCGCCCGGGCACCCTCGGCCCGCGCCCGCCGCCCACCCTGCAGCGTCTCCCCGAGCACCGCGCTCTCTTCTCCGACGCGGGGTGCTGCGGGTTGCAGGCTTGGTGCGCCGCGCCCGAGCCGGCGATGGAATAATGCCCAGCGGCCCGCCCGGTCCCGGTGAGTTGCGGGGCGCACAGAAAGGGGTGGGTGGGTTGGGGGATCGGTGCAACCGTGCGGGGTCGCCCTGCGTGATCGCGGTCGTGGTCCAGCTTTTTTTTTTCTCCTTCTCTCTTCCTTTCCCCGGCGTGGTGTCTCGGTTTTCCTAAGGGAGGGCGCCGGGTTCGGGCGTTGGGGGGCTGCAGTGTCTTCGGGGCGCGTGGCCCGGCGTTTGCAGGGCCGCTGAGCTCGGCGGTGCAGGGCTTTTTTTTTTTTTTTTTTTTTTTTGCTCCATCCGAGGTGGCGCGGTGGCTGGATTCCGCGTATACCGGGTCCGAGAGGGACCCCCGGCGGCGCGCTGGGCGGCGGGCCCCGGCCAGTGGGGCGCCCGCGCGGCGCGGGGACGCGGGCGCTGGACGCGGCATTGTCTGCGCGGCCCAGCAAAGTTGCCCGCCGGCTCCGACGACCCCCCCCCCCGGCCCGGGGCTGGGCTGGACGCGGAGTAGCCGGGCAGGCCCCAAGCTTTGCCTTCAAAGCCGAAAAGGAGGGAAATTTCTACCTAGGATTGGTGTTGGTGCTCACGAAAGACTGGAAAGTGGCTGGTGTTTTTTATTTTTATTTTTTTGTTTTGCAAACGCTCGTACCCTTTGGGGGACCTGCTGCATCTTTGGAGAGAGAACCAGAAGTTGAGAAGAAAAAGAAGAAGAAGAAAAAAAAAAGAACCTCTCTTGGGCATCTGGTATTCTGCGGTTTCCTACATCCCAAGAATTCTTCTTGGGCATTCCTAAAGTGGTTTCCATTTATAATTAATTTTTCCACTAGAGCCGGGGACGGATAACCGGATAGCCAACTCCAGACTCATTAGCCCCACCTCAGCGCTACCCGCAACTCATCAGAAAGAACAAAAACTTTCCCCACTAGACTCAGCCAGGTTGTCTGGGCTGTTAATCGATTCTGTGAGGAAAGCCAGGCATGGATTGCTGAGTAATGTTTGGGGATTGTAAAGTAAGTAATTCACTCTCCGGAGGCTGGCTGGATGACTGTTGCCACCTTCCCCTTAAGCAAGGCCTTTTTCCTCTTTGCGGTTGAAGGCCCACTCTCTAGCAATAAGATCAGGGTCTTCTGGAGACTTCAGATCTCAGCTCAGATTTGAAAAGGAATAGAAGGAAAATGAATCTTGCAGAACACCTGGTTCATCCCTCTTTGGTCATCCAGCAGAGGCCTGGAGAGACTACCAGTCTTCAGACTCCTGATTCAGTGCTCCCTTCAGCCCATGCTGGTCTGTTTTAGCCATGGAACATTTGGACATGCTGACATTATAGCATTCGTGGTTTTAGTGCCTGCTCTGGTTCTGTGTTATCTATCTACTACTGCTGTTTTGAATTATTTAAATTGCTTTTTTTGTAATTGAGTTAAAAAAAAATCCTACATCCCCACTGCTCAGCCATTACATACATGGATTTGGATGTTCACACATCAGATGGGACTTGAAATATGAAATGGGTGGATTATTATATAGAGAATTACTTTCCTCTCTCCCAGTCTTTTGTGGAATATAGAAATCCCCAAATCCCAGAAAGGGCAGTCGCTTAGTACAAAATGTACAGTCTGATGTTGTATGAACTTGATTTTTAGTCCTCCTGTATCTTGTGCACGAAGCCGCCCATCTATTTTTCTCCTGAGGAGAGCTCCTACATGCCTAGCTCTGGTTTTTCATTTTTAGTATGTGATAATGTTGGAGAGAAAGGACTATTTTTTTTTTTTACAAGCTTTCCATTTGGTGAAAGAAATTGAAATTCTCCCCACCTCCCCATTCTTTACCAGACCAGATTTTCAGATTTTCAAAATCAGTGGGAGTTTCTCATACACTCTCTCCACCCCCACCCTTTGCCCCGCCACACACACACACACACACACACACACACACACACACACACACACAAAAATGTGGTTTCAAATGGGGCCCTTCCTGTTGAGGATCCATCACCTGGCTGACCTATTCCTTCTCTGTTCAGATAGTTGAATTCTAGAGGAAGTAAGGGAACTCCTGTAGCACTGTCCTCCCGTTGTTCATTGATTGGCTCTAGTGGGCACCAGTAGCATCTCCATTGTGAGACTTGTTACTGTTTTAGGCATATTGAACACGCCATGGGCAGCTTGCCAGGCTCTGCCTTGCAGGCGGGATACTCTTGGTAGCTTGCCGGGCTCTCCGAGAGGGATGGAGGAACCAAACCCGGGTCAGCTGCATGCAAGGCAAACAAACGCCCTACCCGCTGTGCTATCGCTCCAGCCCCTATGGCTTAAAAGGTGTTCTTGCATTTTCCTTCCAGGTTCTAGGCTAGATCCTACATGCCTATGCCCATTTTTCCCTCCTGTGTTTTTTTCCCTTATTTTCCTCACAGCCATTGTATCTGGCATTGGGTGGAAAAGAAGCCCTGTCTATGGATCACACCTGTGTTTCCCGCATAAGCAGTACCAGCAGTGGTGACTAGCATTTGTTGAACATTTGCTGAAGGCCACCGGCATGTTACCTTCCATGAAGTTCCAAGGAAGAGAGCAAACTCCTTTCGAATTCTTCTCCATAAAGCACACCACTTCTCAGATTTATCTATAATTGAGTCTTCCATGCAAATCTCCTTTTCTAAGTGGCTTCTCTGTGGGTAGTGCTCGTAGGGCAAGGATGAATAGCACCCTCTGTTCAAGGCCTCCTCTCTCAATAATGTCAGCTGCACATGCTCTTTTAGGCAATTCATTATGTGTTTACTGTGCACCTGCTCCATACCAAGCACCTCATGAAGTCCTGATGATTCTAGGATAACTCTAGCCTTGCTCTCATAGAGTGCCTACTCAAATGGAGGAGCTGTGTAAACATTGGTGACGTCTAACTTTTGAAAGGTGGTGATAGGTAGTTCTTGCCAAGGAAGCACACCAGAACCTGAAATTATGAAATCAGAGGGTTGGTGCTGGATGTCGTCTTAGTTTTGCTAGGGGACGGTCTCTCTGCTGCTCCGGGGTTGAGATGGAACTGGCCTGGTTAGAGAAGTTGCAGGGGAGGGGAAGTGCTACTAGGTGGAATGTGCAAAAAAAAAAAAAATGCTTGGTATGTTGCTGGGAGTAAGAGAAATCACTTGCTAGAGTATAAGGGAGCGATGTGGAGAATGACACCGTGCAAAGTTTTAGGGAGAGGCTGGATCACAGTAGAGTTCAAGGCCATGTAGAGAACTTTCTTTGCATGGAAAATCTGCTGTGTATAGACTCAGGAGCAGAACCTAACTGACATTTTGGAACTATGACTTTGTTTCGTGAAGACTGGATCTCAGAGGACAAAGCATGGGAAACCACGAGGTCAGTTGGGTAACCCCTGCCCTAATCCAGCAAAGGTGAGGTCGGTTTGGTCCAGACAGGTAGCTGTAGAGGTGGAGAGAATGGGTGGAACCTGCTTAGAATTTGGAGATAGAATTGCTGAGATTTGGTGATTCTTGTAATGGCGGTGTGGCAGGGAGAAGGAGTCCAGGGTGACTCCTAGGTTTTGACTTGAACGTCTGGGTGCCAGTTGCCAGGGAAAGAGGAAAGATAAGTGGAGGGATGTGTGTTTGGAGAGGACCAAGTTCTACCTTGGCCTGGCTGCATTTGAAAGGTCTGGGGCATCGAAATGGACACATCAGGCAGAGAGCTTATGACTTCAGATCTCAGATGAGACCTAGAGATTGGAGACTTGAGTGTGGAAATGATCAGCCTGATGCAGAGCCACCTCTAACTTTAGATTTTTCCTGCTGTTGCATTTCTTTGGTCATTTGCTTATGTCCTTCGGCCTGCTGGGGATGCTTTTTCTCTCTACCAGCCCAATGCTGCTGATCTTTTTTTTAAATTGTTTTATTTTATTTTATTTTTTATTAGTGAGACATCATGAGGTACAGTTGCAGACTTACAAATTTTTGTGCTTGGGTCTCAACCATACAATGATCAAGTACCCATCCCTCCACCAGTGCCCATTTCCCACCACCACGGATCCCAGTATCCCTCCCACCCCCCCATGCCTCCCACCCCACCCTGCCTCTGTGGCAGGGCATTCCCTTTTGTTCTCTCTCTCTTAATGGGTGTTGTGGTTTGCAAAAGAGGCAATGGATGACAATCATGTTTGGTCTATAGTCTACTCTCAGCATGCTTCTCGCATCCTGGGAGGATCCTCCCAACACCTTTATTTGGTGTTCCCTTCTCTATCTGAGCTCCCCTTTCCCCCAGCATGTGTGATTGGCCTCCAAGCCATGGAGCAAAATTCCTGGTACAACTCTCGGCTATTAATGCTGCTGATCTTTTAAATATACCTGTGGCTTTATCTTTTTGAAGATGCTCCTCTTCAACTCTCTTCCCCACTCTCACGTCCTTTACGAATTTACCATCAGCATAATGTTTAATTGAAATAAACCTTTTTTAGAGCTGCTGGAGAGATAGTGTAGGGGATAAGGTGTTTGTTTTGCATGTGACTGATCCCCATTTGATCCCCTCAGCACCATCAGTCGCTTTCCCTGGGCACCACAGAGTGTGGCCCCACCCTTCTCGACTTCCCCATCCCCCATCCCGCCCCACAGTAAAAAGGGAAATTGCCTTTTTTGGTGTGGTATTTTTGGCTACAGCTGGAGGTACTCAGAACTTACTCCTGGCTCAGGGATCACTCCTAGTGGGTCTTTGGGGACCATATGTGGTGCTGGGGATAGAACCAGGGTCAATGGTGTGCAAGTCAAGTGTCCTACCTATGGTATTATCTCTCTACCCTGCAGGTTATCTTTTTATTCAGATCTTTCTTGACTAATAATGGGGTTGATCAAAATAAACTCATTGTACATTGAAAATACCATGATTGAAAATCCATCTAGTACGTGAAACTTCCCAAACATCACAGTTTGACCCAGCTTACCGTGAATGTGCTCAGAGCACATGCACAAAGATATTTAATGCACAGTCTGTTTTAGAATGACTTAACAGTCTGTTAATTCATCGAATACTGTATTACATTAAAATTC